GCCAGAATCCTATGATGCAAACTCATGCATCCTGTGTCTGAGGCAGAATGTGGAAAGGAGGGCACATCCCCAGCTGGCTCCACCTCTGGGCTCACCTCAGCAGGGACTCACACGCCTGGGGCTAGGGTGTGGGTGTCCTGACTGTGCACAGCTGGTCAGATGCCAGGTCCGCCTGCAGTGCCCTGCCTCTTGCCACCAAACCAGGCCATGAGAAGAATGGGAGAATAAGCAAGCCCTGTGTCAGGACACACACCCACACATACACACACACACACCTTAAACCAGTGATTCTGGAAGATGCACACCTCCCCCGATAAGCAGACAATCCCAGAGAAGTGCCACCTGATGAATTGAGAGATAGAGAACTCTCTATCTCAGGGCAGCCGCTCCTCCCGCCCTGTGGCAGCCCCGCCACCCTCGCTCCTCCCAGGACGGTGCTTCTGCAGTGCTCCCCGCCCCTGCCACCCGGGAGCTCTGTCACCTCAGGCAACTGACCTAACTTCAGTGTCTTCCCTTGTAAAAAGGGAGATAATGCAGTTTATTATTCATGGTGGAATTGAAACAGGATGACTTCCAACTATGTGTGCATTTCTATACATCTCAGAAAGTAAAAAACCCCAGGAGAGCCAGGAATCCGTATCCTCTCAACCTGCCCTAAAAATGTCTCGATGGACTGTGTCCACACATAACCGGGGAAGAAACCCCAGCAAATGTATTGTGTTAGGGGATAAATAGACGTCACCCTCCCTTTAGGATTCATGACCCTCTCCTTGCTCTAATCCCAAATCCCGATGAGCTGAAGATAGTCAACAAATGGCCTCACCGCAACATCCATCCCAGGCCTTAAACGCACCTGGCTGGGGAGGTGGGGGTGGCGGGTGTCCTCATGGTTGATTTCTAGTTGGTCGGGGTGCTCTGCCTGCGGCAGATGGAGCAGACTGTGCCAAGGAGGTGGAAGAGATGAGGGTGGGAGGCAGTGGGTGGGGCCCAGACTGGGACTTAGGAGAAGGGCAGAGTGCGAGCTGAGATCAGGCCACTTGAGGACCATCCCTCCACCAACGAGGCACAGAAAGCCCCGGACCCTCCCAGGCCTTTCAACATCAGCTCCCTGATTCTAAAAAGTACCAATGGAGCAGTAAAAGACTGAGGAATATTGTAAATTTCCTCAAGTCAGCAAACTGGAAGCGAGAAGAACCCTGAAAGAAGGAAGAAACCAACTTCTCCGGATTCGTTATAACTATCCAACACTGCTCTTCCAGCAGACGCGTTCGGTTTCACTCTTTTCCTGGTCTGATGCATGACCTTGTGGCAGATGCATTTAAATGGCTTCCACTTAGCAGGCCTATTATTTGTCCGAGTTTTCCAGTTGCGTCAGTGCCCAAGTTTAGCATGGGGACAGGTTCATCCTGTTGCAAGGATCTAAATGACACATGGCCTGAGACAGAGGAGCAGACGCAGAGTATTTTCCAGGGTTAGTCAGATGAAGAGGGAGGACACACATCTCGAGGTGGCCTGTCAGCCGCTCCTGACACCACACACGTCCAAGACACATCATGTAAACTCAGCTTCTTTGCTCTGGTAATAATCCGAAAACCTGAAGTTCTTGTGCAGAAATGTTGTTCCCTTGAGATTTCATCAAACTGCAAATTGCTGTAGCCAACAGTGAGTCAGGATTTCTTCTCCTTCACTAAGGTTATGATGTTATTCACTATTCATTAAGTTCAGTACTAGGCTTCTTAATCATATACATTTTCCGTCAACTCTCTGTAGTACAGATTTCCTGGGACATGCTTTACATTGAGACCACGTGTCCCCCTCACTCTCCTGCACACAGTCTTTCTGCCTCTCCTTTCTGCTCACGCGATGACACTTAGAAAAACAGAAAGGAAGATACATATGCTACCTATTCCTGTCTGCCATCAAACTGGCAAAATGCCTCTTAAAGCAACATGGCTTTCAAACTGTTGGCTATTTGGGATGATAAACTAAAATGGATTATTTCACTCAGTACGACAGTCCTGTGGAGCATGAATTATTACCATGCCCAGTTTACAGATGAAGAAACTGAGGCTTGGAAAGGAAAACTGAGTTGGCCTTGGAGCTGGTAAGCCTAGGCTGTCTGGCCCCACAAGCCCTGCCCTTGCTGTCCACAGCTATGCTGTGCTGTTCGTGGCAAGGCTGGTCACCTGTTAGAGATGAATGTGAGCCCCAGAATTCTGAAAATAAGAGCAAGCAATAGAAGGTGGCCCCGGACAGGTACTTTCTTCACTTCTGTGGTTACCTCACCATCCAAGGGTTCAGGCTCCTACCCCCAATACCAACATCACTGACCAAAAGTTGGGACCAGGAGGTCGTGTGGCTTAAGGGAGTTATCCTCATGGGAATCTGCTCCCTTAACCCATGTATTTGAGCTCCTTGAAGGCAAAGGCCAATCCTGAGGCTCAGTAGCAGCCTTCAGTCCAGGAGTAGCTTCCTCACCGACCACATTTCCCTAGATGCTGATTTGCACTGAATTTGATAACATACATGAGTTCCATTCCGCTACTTTAGAGGGAGTCAAAAGCTCTTGCCACTTCTTGCTACATCACGTAGGGAGGAGCCTTTACGTTTTCACTTGAAATTCCTTATTCTATCTGGGCCATTCATTCTGCAGCTTCACACAGTAACATGCGTTCTGCCCCGCCAAAGAGTCCTTGACATCTTCCTCGCTGCAGCTTTTGGGGGAAGAAAGAAACAGACTAGGAGTGTGTGCTTCTACTCGGACTGCCCTCTGCTCCGCGGGCCAGAGTCTGTGCTCTCATTCCCGAGACTTCCAGGTACAAAAATCTTCACTCTTCAAAGAGCAAAAAGAAAGTCAACCAGAACAGCAGCGAAAGATCCAGCAAAATTCTGTCTCGTTCTGTGCACACCTTTGAACACTGCAACATTTCCGGCCAACTCCAGACTTTGGATCTGACCTCCAAATCCCCCTGTACCTGTGGGAGCCCTCTGCTGTCTCAGCCCATTTGACCTTCTGATTCCCTCCATGGTGGTGACTGTCACCATGGTATAGATCTAGCTCACCTCTCAGATCCCTCCTAAGACCCTTGACCACCACCGACTTTCTGGCCTCCCAGGTTTCAGGGTCTCTGTCCCCACCTGCCATCCTCACCAGGGTCCTGCAAGTCTCAGTAAATTCACCTGTTCAGTCCCACACAGACCGTCTCCCTTCAATTCACAAAACTCAAATCTATGCCATAGCTTGGAAATGAGACCCACATCTTCCCCTCAAACCGAAGAATATCAAAATTATTTCTTTTCCGACACTTCACTGTTCAACAAGCATTTATAGAGCCCTCGTTAGGCATCAGAGACACAAAAACGAAAAGATCTGATGCCTGCCTGAACCACTTCAAGGAAATAAATGAACTGCCAGGGTCATGGATTAACGTGGCCAGGACTCTGGCTTTCAGTCCAGCAGTGAAGGTTCTTTATGAAATCATGCGGGTCTGTCTTTAATCCACTCACTTGGTCTCCCAGGAAATATGATTAAAAGAAACCAAAAACTAAACAGATGTGCGCCAGCAGGTGGATGGAAGAGAGGCTGAGAACAGAATCAGAAATGCAGGTATCTTCTGGGTAGATGGCCTTGTCCCGGCAGGAAGCAAAGCCCCTCAGTCTTCTTAGGCAGCTTAGAACGAGGGCTCTGGGTAAACAGCCTTCCCTTTCATCCTGTACACCACCCTTCCTCGTAAGGCCTGGGAAGCTACTAACTTCCGAAGATGCATGTCCTGGACCAGGGCTACTGAAGAGCAGAATCGCTGTGCCAGTCCACACACCCGGTCTCTGAGGATGTCAACCCCCTCAACCACCAAACAAGTCCCCAGGACCCCACGTGCTGCCCTCCCCATGAGCCAGGTTCCTTTTCATGGGACGCAACAGTAATTCATCTATCAATAGTGCTCTTCGAGTGCTGTGAGTAGAGCCAGTATTTCAACAGACCTCCCACTGCACGTGCTCTACTTAGACCTCAAGGCTCCCTTCTCTCATGGCTTCCTGTTTCAGTCTTCCTGGCCCGCGGTGGTTACAAAGCCTGTGCCTGGAGGGGGCCAGGAGCCTCTCTGGGCATCTTCCTTCTCCATGACCAAGCGCGTGGTTCAGCCCTACTCTTCATGTGGACTTGGTACGGAAACCGGACTTGCATGTTAATTCGTGGGCACAAGACAACGCCCACTTTCCTGGCTCCTCTCAGCACCCGCTCATGCAGGGAGGCGCTGGCCTGCGGCAGGCTGGCATCAGTAGGAACACTCTGGGGTTTATATTTGCTGTTCAAAAAATTCCTTAAGCCTTCCATCTTTTCTATTCAGAGCAAACTGCAGCCATCTGGATGAATTCGGAACTCACTGGGACGGGCACGACAGGCATGGAGCAGAGAAGCAGGACTTACGGGAACCCACTGCCCCCAGCCCTCGCCACACACACATGTGGTTTTTAACTCCTCATAAAACACAGGACATGGCATTTTTATATGCAAGGCAGTTGCATTTACTAGAATTTTCCTTGAGACTACCCCCAGATCGAGGCTGTGGGCAGAGGGGCACAGCGGTCTGTGCAGGCCTTGCCTGTGCTGCTCCACGGTCTCTTCTCAAAAGCTTTCAGGCTGCATTTGATGATAGTGCCTGGGAGCTTCTTTCTTAGTTCCTTTTCTCCCATAGGACTTCCCTGGAACTCACTGAATTGTTCCTTACTTCCTGGGATAGGAATGAACCCCAGAGAAAGGAGAGGCACGAACCAGAAAGGCAGGGTCACTGGGGGATCCTGCAGTTAGATCAGGGGGCCACAGTCAGCCAGGTTCATAGACAAAGAGGACAGCCATGTGCACAGGCTCATGCACACACACACCCTGAGCCTGGGAAATGGACCGTGTGCACAGGCTCATGC